TCCGTGTTCCAATAAATATTGGACTTTTATTCCTCCCTCCGTGTCTGAGTCTGCATATGGGCTAGTAAACCATCGCATTATGACAGCGTGTGCCTTCAGGACCATCAAACATTCTGATGAACAAATGTAAATAGCAACTGCTAAGCGACTCATGAAACCTGAAAGCAGGTCCAGCTGTTTCATCTTTAATTAGTGTGTTTCAAAGGCAGGTGTAGGAGCAGAAAAAAGACATTTCCTATAGATTTTTTTTTTTTTTTTTTTTTGCAGCATAAATTTTTCATAGCATTTATTTTGTTGACTGTCAGTTTTGGCTTCTATTTTCAGGGGTTGTAACATTTTTAAATGGCTGCATTTTCTATTGCATTTGTTTTTTGTACTGTTTTTTTCTCAGTGAATGTATAAAACGCATATGCAGAAGTTATATCCCCTTCTCCATGCACAATTTAGTGCTGCACCTGCTGCATAAGAGGGAAACAGGTCCTCTGTATCTGTTGAAGGCCTCATAAACTACTCACACTCATACCTTATTGCTTTAAGATGGGGTTTAATATGGCCGACCCTCTGCAGGTTCACACAATTGAAGTGAGAAGTAGGTAGGGCGAGGAGATAGCCACCTAATAGGAAAGGCCTCTACAGTATGAGGCCTTCTACTGTGCTTGCTATAAAGGCTTGAGATCCCCACCTCTCACTCTCTTCCTGTGGACGTTGCCCAGGCTGCATTATCAGATATGTGATTGGCTTTCACTGCAGGCTGAAGGATTTCACTCTTCAGAAGGTTAAGTCAAGTTCAGCAGACCTGCAAAATACTTGCAGAACCAGGTTGCTTTGAACAGACTGTCTGCAAAATTCTCTCAAGTTCACAGAAGTACCTTTCAGCCAAAAGTCAGAGAGAGACTAAGGAACCCTCAATCATCCAAAAGAACCAAGCATCCCACCAACCCTATGAAATCACCAGCTGCCCAAAGCATCACTGAAGACTCCACATCATTCAGCTAGGTAGCGGTCTGGAGAAATACAGCATTTTCAGCTAAACATTTTGGATTTTGCATTTTCTTTATTTATGGTTATTTCAAATGTTATACTGTGTTCCAAAGGTGAACAGCAAAGCTAATCGCAACCACATGCTGCTGACTAAATGCCAGTTAACCAGAGGCTAAACCCTCTTTCACTGAGTTTCTTACCCATGTTTGTTCTCCCTTAAACCATCACATAATTTTGAGATCAATTATCTCAATGGATGTTGATCTTTAATAAAAAAAAAAGAAATCATTTTATGAAATATTATTTACCAGACAATGATTTATTTACCTTTTGGATTTGCTTTGTAAATTGGTTTGAAAACTAAAGTTGCTCTAAATTAGATTTAAAGCTAATTTGACCTCATTCCAATCTCTTTAAGTTAAACTTTAACCCTCAAACACAAACTTCCTGCTGAACTGAGATATCATTGCATCATTTTATCCATATTAGTATTTTTATTTGCGTTTTTCTTCTATGTGAACATAGTAGCTACTTGGTTTATTTTGATTTCATCAGTTTTTAACGAAAATATGTTAGACCTGGAGTTGAGTTATTTATTTTTGTTAATAAATGTTTATATTTTGAATGGAGGTTGTTTTGAATGTATTCCAAATCTGTGCACAGTTATCTGCTTGACCATAATTTGAGGTCGAATCACACTTGTCCAAACACAGCTAGTTGGGTGTGTGTTCACAGGACAAAATAAACTATGACAGTACAAAAGTTGTTTAATTAAATATTGAATAATATAAAGTCAGAGCAGTAACTACATAACGTTCCATCATTGGTGTCGGTTCAGTCAGACATTTCTGTCTGGAAAATGATCAGCATCAGAATGATGAGCAGATGGATGTTTTTAAAGGAGCTTTAAACAGAAACTGCTCCAGTTTTAGTTTGATATTAACTCTGTGAACAGATTACTGTTAAATCTTGACTAACTGAAAACCTGTGCATATAAAATCAGCAGAAAGAGTGACTCACCTCATCTTCCAGCTGTTTGGTGTCTCTGGTGAATAAAAGCTTCTCAGGTTCTGCTCTTATTTATTCTCTCATCTTTAAGGTGCAGCACCATAAAGATATGTAATCAATGTACTGGTAATAATTATCTCAAGCTGAAGGTTTATGCTTTAATTTCCTATGAAATAGAAACTCACAGAAACATTTTGATTTCCTGGAGGAGGTCAAAACGTCACTGAGATGGATTCTGGCCATAAACCGACAGTATGGAGGCCCAAAGGTTATATGGTTATGCTTATTAAGGGTTTTACACCTTTATGAGTGTGGAAAATAAATGTTATGGTGTCACATGACATTTATTGCTGAGCTTTACCTGGAAACAGAGAATTTCTGCAGCTCATCAGTTAAAATAAAGCTGTTTGTTTTTCTGCTTCATTTAAAAAATCTAGGGGTAATTTGGAAGAATTCTAGTGGTATGCTTTGGTGAAGATTAATTTCTTTTTATTTCATCATTTTCTGTTACTGATCATGTGTGTGTATGGTAGCAAGTCAGCCAAAGGGACATTCTAACGCTTGATCTATGATGATCTAAGAAGGTCTACCATCACCTTACTAGGTAATGCTGTGGTCTGGGTGAGAAGGCATGATGCAGCTGGAAACTTTGGAAGAGGTACGTGCTGACTGGATGTTGCATTTTTGGATAAATTGGAAATCTTCTAGTAGATGTGGGCCATTTTGCTGTTTCCAAAGCTAAGAAGACAGAGGGCAGGTCTAAGACAAAGAAGGTGAAGACTTCCTCTGTAATTTGGGCTGATATAAATTACTTTGTTAAACATGAATGGAATAAATTCTGTAAATACTTGAAGATGTTTTAATTTCTCTTCGTACACCTTCTGAGCAACATTCTTCCTCAGATTAGAACTGGATGATAAAACAAATGATCAAACAGCTTAAATCCCTTATATGAAATTGAAACATTAAATTTCTTTCAGACTACAAAGATATTTTTCTGAAGAAACCTTTATGACCTTCAGTGGTGTCAAAAGTACACACATTTGAAAAAGTATGTGCTCCAAAAACTACTTAAAGTATAAAAGTATAAAGTAACCTTTAAAAAAAAAAAAAGCCAGATGCCACTATATGAATTGAAAGCTCAATTTATCGACTATTTCGAAAAATTCTTTGAGATAGGGCCAAGGAGGAGGGAGGTGTTGTTGGTCTCCATCTCCCGATACGCTCTCACCTGTGTCCGACCTTTCAGACACTACAACATCTTTTTCTGAATCCTACATTGTAGCATGGCATAGACAATTCAGGTTTGCATTTTGAAGAACACCTGCTTGCTTCTGATGATTTCCTTTAGCTAACCCAGTGGTTCCCAAAGATTTTCTTCTGGGCCCCCCTTTGGATTACAATAAAATGTCCACGCCCCCCCCATAACCCCCCGACCCC